TAGAGAGATTTTTTGTAGATAGTAGTATCTTAAATGAAATTATTTAAAATATCTATAGAAGTATTAGTGCTATTTCCAAGAAAGACAACATAGTTATATGAGTTAAGAATAGAGTGAGTAGAGAAGACTTTGCTTAGACGGTTTGCTAGAATTTTGGTATAGAGTTTTTTGATATATTCTACTAGACTAATAGGTCTGATGTTATTTAAGTTGCTATCAAAGTTTGGTTTTTTGGAGATAGAATATATATAGTCTTGTTTCTACTACTTAGGGATAGATTGAGTAGTTATGCATTTGTTAAGTAGAAGAGTAATAGCAGATATAATATTGAGGCTAATATGCTTAAGCATCTTGTAGCTAATACCAGATAGGCTACAAGCTTTTTTGTTAGAAAGTTGTTGAATAGTTGAAATAATTTCTTCGAGAGTAATTTCTGTGAGAATGGAGTTATACTATTTAGTGCAAACCTGTTAAAGAGGTGAGTAGATATTAGTTCAGAATTTATTAAAGATTAGAGAGTTGTAGAGTTTATATGAGGTTTAGTTTTCAAAATGTAGTTTGATATAGTTTTTAATAAATAATGAGTCAGTAATTAAGTTAGTTAGTGTTTTAATATTATCAAAGTATACATAGTCTGTATATCGATCCAAAATACTATTAATCATTTTAGTTGGTTGTTCAGTTAGATTTTTGCAGCAAATATTAATTAAGCTATTGATATGTTGGTTTAAGTGTTTAGTATTTTCAAGGTTGCATGCATAAAAAAGTATTTTCTAGTAGGATTTAGTATGGGCAATCCAGTTAGGAAGTAGAGTAGGAGAGAGGAAAGGATAGATAATTTCAAAATTGTATTTGTTGTTAAGTTTAAAGATGATTGCTTCAGTGTTAGGGTTTAGGTTTGTATAGTTGTTAAAGGAGTTTTGTATTTGTTTTATTAGATTTCTGATTGTTTTTAAATCATTATGAAGTAAGGTTGCTGTAGGGGTAAAAGTATAGAAAAAGTTACATACAGTATACTTTTTGTTAGAAATATGTTATAAAGTAGCTTGAGTAATGCTTATTGAAATTTTATACTAGATTGTCTCCAAGGAGCTACTAATTGAGGCTTAAGTTGAGATACTGTGTGAGTAGAGGTTGTGGTCAACCTAGTTTGAAAACTCTTTCTATTTTTCTTTGTTTATTTGTTTGTAGTCAAATACTTATTATTTAGTATGAGATTTGTAGCATGTTGTAGTAAAGGCAGTAAAGAAAGACCAGGATAAGATAAGTATCATATGGTTACTATTTGTAGAAGATAAGGAGAAATCAAGTTGAAAATTGTTGAGATAGAGAATTAGTGAGTTCTGAGTTTAAATATAGTTAATTTTGCTACTAGAGCTGTCATTAGACTAGGTGTAACTGAAATTATTAGTATGACTAATAAGGTCATACATGTTAGAGCTATGGAGGTAAAAAATTAGTTTAAATTTTGAAGATGAGAATATTTCAAGTTGTGTGGAGATGTTGAAATCACCAAAGATGATTAGATAGAGGTTTAGAGATTAAGCTTGTTGGATCTATGAGATAGCTTTGTTTTGTGTAAAGTTGCATATATTTAGGTTAGTAGAGGAAAGATATATTGAGATAATTCTAAATTTGTGATTATTTTTGAAGTAGAAATCTAGAGCAACTGCTCTATCAGGATGGCAGAGTATATTGTAGATATAAGGCTATAAGTAATTTTTGACTATTATACCTGTTTCTTTTTTAGAAGTTGAGGAGTTTGACTAGAAATATTTGAATTAGGATGTATTGAAGAATTTTTTAGTTAGGAGGTTAGCTAGTTTGATTTCAGTAATACTAATTATATTGAGATTGTTTTGAATATAGTATAATTCCCATAATTATTATTTAGTAAGAGTATTATAACTTCTTATATTATGAGTAGTAATATTTAATATGAGATCAGATAGTAAGGAATTAGTAGGTAGAGTAATAGTTTAGCTATGTTGTGTTTGTTGTAAAGGTATAAGAGTTGGTATTAGTGTAGAAGGAGGGGTATTGTAGTATATATCAGATTTGATTAGAAGATGTTTGAAGATAGTAAGGTTAGATTTGAAGAGTAAAGTGTAGTAGAGGAGAAGAGTATCTAGAGTATTGATATATACATATGTCTCTGTAAATATGTTATTAATAGAGATTTTAAATTTTTAAATATGAAATTCCGAAAGTTCCGAGGCAGACTATAAACGAACCTAAAATAGGGCAAGGTTGGGCAATTTTCTTTGGAAGCAACCGAAAGATTTTGAAATTAGCCAAGAAATAAAAATCCAAACGCTAAGAAAAAAGATAACACATAACTTACATGTAATTTACGTCAGTTGGATTACTATCAACCCTACTAATTACGACATACGGTATTACCGTTACGGCAATTATATACACAGTACATAGCAAGTTAAAGGCCATTCTTTTGAAAATTCGCTTCGCTAAGCAAACATTTGTCTGGGGTATGATCAATCGGCCCAGATTATTATATCAGTATATAGAAAATCCGGTTAAGTATATATCTGATATGAAATTCGAATAAAGAAAAAAAAATATAAGATCATTTTAACAAGCTAAAAAATATTAACATATCAAAAGTAACAAGGTTGTTTAAAAGAACATTTAAATACGTAGTAGCTTCACAAGCATAAATATATTTTTTATTAAGAAATTGAAGAAATATAAGCTAATGATATTACAGAGTTTATTCGCAATTATAAAAGTTTATAATTCAGTGTTGATCGAATTGGTCAAATTAGTCAAACTGGTCAAATTGGTCAAGTCTATTTTAAATATAATATATTTTATAATAATCATTTGACCAATTTGACCAGTACAAATCCTTTGACTGGACCGGTCAAATTGGTCAAATTGGTCTGGTCAAATGGTCAAACCGGTCTGGTCAAGCCAACACTGTTTATAATGTATCTATCATTTGTACACCGGATTATCACATTACAGAATCGTAATAACTGATAATAAAAAATGAGTTACCTGCATTTCCTATTAGTCGCAGGGGCTACAAGATCCACACAATGTTGATCAAAAAAACCTATATTAGTGTCGCCAAATGAAATCTTATCGTTATCTATAGCGATAGATTTCCATTCGGCGACACTCATTAAGGCACTAAAGAGCGAATGATGTGTTTAAGCAAATCGCATCGCAGATAATCAGTTTATCTATCACTGATGCATTTTATTTTTTGAATTTTTGCTGAGTCAAGGCAATTAATATTTTACTAAAAAATTGCATCACAAAAACATCACATGGTTTCGTAAATTATTTATAAATTTTTATTATCGTTATTTTTTTTTTTTTTTTTTTTTGCGTTTAAATTGTTCAATATCTTTCACAACTGTAATAGTTATAATACAGCAATGGGTAAAAATCTTACCGTTGACGATGTTGCTCAACATAATACTGAAGACTCCATCTGGATCATTGTCCATGATAAAGTTTATGATGTAACGAACTTTTTGAGCGAACATCCTGGTGGAAAAAAAGTCTTACTCAAGGTCGCTGGTTCAGACGCGACAAAACAGTTTGATAACTTTCATTCATTAGACGTGTTAAAAAAATATTCGGATAAATTATATATTGGTGACGTTGGTTCTCCAACCGAACAAGAGAGTCAAGAGGCAGCTTCGGGCGAAGTTCCATTTGGGGATCTCGTGCCACACGGTGACCCATACTGGTATCAAGACTTCTACAGTCCGTATTATAATGAAACGCACCGTCGCGTGCGTTTAGCTATGCGCAAATTTGTGGAGACAGAAATAATGCCTTATGCTTTTGAGTGGGATGAGGCCAAGAGAATTCCTAAAGAACTTTTTATTAAAGCTGGTAAAGCTGGTATTTTGCCTGGAGTATGTGGTGCTCCTTGGCCAAAAAAGTAAGATTATTTTTTACGTGCTTAAAGCCTAAAATGTTATAGATTATCGATGTGTTTAACAATATAAAAATTTAGGTATTGCGATTTTCCTCCAATTGGTGGTGTCAAACCAGAAGAATTTGATCATTTTCATGAATTTATCATTACTGATGAATTGGGTCGTTGTGGATCAGGAGGTGTTCTATGGGGTTTAACTGGTGGTAAGTTAAATGAGAAAAAAAGAAATTTTGTTGTATGACCTAAGAATCATTACCCATTGATTTTTTTTTCTTTTTTTTGTTTATATAGGTTTGGGCATTGGTCTTCCTCCCATTATTAAATTCGGAACTGATGAACTCAAACAGAGAATTGCACCAGAATGTTATGCAGGGACAAAAAATATTTGCCTTGCTATTACAGAGCCTTATGCTGGATCTGATGTTGCTAATATTAAAACAGAAGCAAAACTTACAGATGATGGTAATTACTATATAGTTAACGGAGAGAAGAAATGGATCACAAATGGTGTTTTTTCAGATTATTTCACCACAGCGGTTCGCACTGGAGGTCCTGGAATGGGCGGAATTTCTCTTCTTTTAATTGAGAGATCAAGACCAGGTGTTAAGACCCGTCAAATGCAATGTATGGGTGTATGGGCTTCGGGTACCGCTTATGTCACATTTGAGGATGTAAAGGTTCCAAAAAGTAATCTAATTGGAAAGGAAAATAGCGGATTCAAAGTAATTATCATTTTGTATAATAATCATTAATTGGTTCATTTATAAACATAAAGAAATAATATTTATGCTGTATTATTATTATTATTATTTCTTAAAAATTAGTGCATTATGCATAACTTTAATCATGAACGAATGGGGATCGCAATTCAAGCTAATAGATTTGCTCGTGTATGTTATGAGGAATCTATGAAATATGCTCATAAACGCAAGACTTTCAATCAAAAACTTATCGATCATCCGGTTATTCGTAACAAACTTGCTCATATGGCACGACAAATTGAAGCTACACATTCCTGGATGGAAACTTTAATTTATCAAACAAACCACATGAGTGGAACAGAAGCTATGACAAGACTCGGTGGCCCAATTGCGTTATTAAAGGCACAATCCACTCAAACATTTGAATACTGTGCTCGAGAAGCTGCTCAAATTTTTGGTGGTTTATCTTATTCTCGTGGCGGGTACGTAATATAATTTTAATTTATTTTTTTAATTGAAATCTATTAATATATTTACTTTTAATCGTTAATAGTCAAGGTGAAAAAGTCGAGCGTTTATATCGTGAAGTACGTGCTTACGCTATTCCTGGTGGATCGGAAGAAATTATGCTCGATTTGGGCGTTAGGCAATCTCTGAAAGTTGCGCAGTTTTACGGTGCTAAGCTTTAGTCGGTTCTTTTGTTTTAGAATAAATAATTTAGAAATATATATTGCTCATTCCAAAAATATATGAAATTAAGAATTATTTGCGTTTTTATGCAATTTTTTCAAGAAATTTTAATTTTCAAAGTTTAGTAATTATTTAAGATTTTTGTAGTATGTAAAGGATGTTTTTAACGATATTTCGGTATTTAATAAAAATTTTTAATCTTTATTACTATTTAACTTTTTTTAAAAAAATTACATAATCTATATTATACTTAATTAGATGAAATTTAGATGAAAATTTTTAATACCAGGTTATTCTTATCCAAATTTGCATATGGGTGAGATCTCGTCGATCGATAAACCAAATCGTGAATTTTATGAGGATAAAAAATCGAAGATCTAATTTCTAACCCTTATCTGTTATATTTGGTATTAACCAAAATTGTCAAATTTCGTTTATTATATTTTTAAAATTTAGGTTTCATTTTATTGTGCTTTTCAAATTGCATTACACACCACACATCAAAAATTATTATTAAAATACAGACTTATGATTGACTAAATTTTATTTTTATTTTTAAATTTTGAGCGAAGATATCTCGACAACAACGTAATTAAATTAGATGAAAAATTTTTTAATCGAATTGTTAAGATAAATTTGCTCGTCTTAAAAAATTAAAACTAGACTACATTTTTTTCCAAACTTTGAACGAAGTTATCTCAGCAACCACTTAATCAAACTCGACGAAAAATTTTTTTATTTTAATTCTCTGGGGCAGTATAATTCGAATAAAAAAAAAGTTATCGAGATATCTTCGATCAAGCTTTTAAAAAACTCAACCCGCCTATCAAAATCAAAGCTACGCCAAATTTTTTTCTAAACTTTGAACGATGATATCTCAGTAATCACCTAATCAAATTCGATGAAAATTTTTTTATTTCAATTCTTTGAGACAGTAGAATTTGATAAAAAAAAAAAAAAAAAAAAAAATCATTAAATTTGATTAGGTAGTTGTCAAGATACCTTTGTTCAAAGTTTTTAAAAAACTTAAAAATCGTTTATTAAAATAAAATTGCGCCAAATTTTTTCTAAACTTTGAACGAAGATATTTCGACAACCACCTGATCAAATTTGATGAAATTTTTTTATTCGAATTATAAAATTAAAGAAAATAAAAAAATTTTCATCGAATTTGATCGAGATATCTTCGTTCAAAGTTTAGAAAAAAATTTGGTGTAACTTTTATTTTGATAGATATATTTTAAGTTTTTTAAAAACTTTGAACTAAGATATCTTGATAATTACCTAATCAAATTTATTCGAATTCTACTGTTCCAGAAAATTGAAATAAAAAAATTTTCATTGAATTTGGTCAGGTAGTTGTTGGGATACCATCGTTCAAAGTTTGAAAAAAAAATTTGGCGCAGCTTTGATTTTGATAGGCGAGTTGAGTTTTTTAAAAGTTTAACCGAAGATATCTTGACAACTTCATAATAAAATTTAATAAATTTTTTTTATTCGAATTATACTGCCTCAGAGAATTAAAATAAAAAATTTTTTTCATCAAGTTTGATTAAGTGGTTGCTGAGATAACTTCATTCAAAGTTTGGAAGAAAATGTAAGACAACCAGAAACCCAGAAAATTTGAGTGATAATGAAGATCATTGGAAAATGGATGAGCATTGTGTAGATAGACAATATTATGTGTATTTGGCCTATTTTATTATTGGCTGACTAACTTTGTAGTATAAATCATGTATACCAAATATATTTACATGTTTTTTTTTTTTTTTTTACATATAGTATATATATCTAGCTTACAATGACCTTTTCTCTTTAGGCTATTTGATTTAGTTATTAGTAAACAAGAGTAGGGTAGCTGATAAAAAGTAGAAAGATATGCAGTAAATTGGGTGGATGTATTGAGATATTGTCTATCTATGCAATACTCATATATTTTCTAATGATCTTTGTTATCACTTGACTATTGGTTGAAATAAATTTCACATGCTTTGATAAACAATATCATATGTATTTTGTAGAGTATTATTTAGATCTTGTCTGATTTAAAATTTTGCTAATTAGATGATTGTATTTAAAGGATTTTTTATGCTTTTTGATAAAACTTGTAGTAGATTTTACAAGATGATTAATTGTCAAAAACTAAAATAGAATTCATGTTTGTTTCTGATTTTTGTATCAAGTATGCTAATATTATTTTAAGGTTTTAGCTTTAGCTAACAGAACTGCAAAAGTATATATGTTTTTGAGCTAATTTGATATAGTATCTACTAAGACAGGCTTATGTAAAGAGGTTAAAGTTAAAAATAGTATATCTTTTTTATCATTATTAGTCCTTTAGTCTTTAGTTACTTTAATAAAGTTAGAATAGCTATAGCTAGATACAGTAAAAGTTTATCTTGTAAAATTTTATGATTAGCTTTTTTTGTCTTAGTTTTATATCTTTATGAGCAATTAAAATATTATATTTTTTCAGTTTGTTAATATTAAATAAATAACCATTTTAAAGTATAGTTATAAAATTTAGCAAAATTCATTATAAGTTACTTAGTTTTGCTGCTAAAGTTATTACTAGTAAAAAAGCTATTTTTTTCATTAAATTTATTATTAGTATTTTGTTGTTTTAGTTTATTGCAATAATATACTTGAGATATAGAATTATATCAATAGTATTTTTAGATAGTAAGGTAGAAGAGTTTTTTTGTAAATTGATAATATAATTCTTGCAATTAATAGATAATAGCCTACTCTTAAATTATCAACTAGATTATATATTTCACTAATAGCTAAATGATATATAGCTATTATATTGTATGTCATACCTTTACTACTTATCTTAGCTAAAAGTCTAATATATAATTTATAAAATATTGAATAAGATCTATAATGATTTCTCATACTAAATAGTCTATTTTTTATAGCTAATTCAACTATAGTATTTGAAGATTTTTCAGTTATACTCTTCATTAGCTTGATAGTTTTCTATGAAAAGCTCTTCTTAATAAGATTTTTCCTAAGATAAGACAAACAAATATCTTCTATCTTAAATTCCTGATTAGATACTAATAACTTATTTTCTCTAGAATAAAAGGTTGTTTGTCTGTTAGTAAGATTGGAAGATCTATTAATAGTTTTAGAAGTATCAGAAACTAAGATACAATTATCTAATATAAAACTACTATTGCTATTGTTATTTTATTGTTTATTACTTTGAAAAAGATCTTGTATAATAAAATCTAAGATGAGTTTACCCATTCTCTAATTTCTAACTAGTTCTAAGCTAAGATATCAATTACTTAGCAATAAAAGTCTAGATACCTTAAAAAGTAATATAGAAGTAGAGTATTGATTCTGTTCACAAATAAGTCTATTTGAAAAAACTCTAAATTTTAGAATTTTGTAAAATATCTAAGATTTAATCATCTAATCATATTGGTCCAAAGTCTTCCTTGATATCAGATTTGCTAATATATTCTGTTTACTAAAAATATGCTATATTATTAATTTTAAATTTTAGATCAGATATAGATTTTATTTTTTTTCTACTAATTTGTTCAGTTCCTGAAACATTGTTCTACTCTAATAATTTATATATACAATATATATAGAGTTGTTAATCTTTATTATCACTACTTGGTCTCATGGATCTTTGAATACTAAAAGTGTATAATGAATTATAATAAGTTCTAGAATATTAATATATAGCTATTTTTGTTGATAATTCTAATATTCAGAAAGGAGCCAAACTCTCTATATTATTTTTTAGCTTTTTTTTGAAGTATTGGTATAAATTACTGTTGTTAGAATATCTAAGATTAAACTGATACTGTTCTATTTTTTAAAATTCTCTAACTACTAATAGAGCTTTTTTGAAACAATATGAAGTAAATATTTTATCTTCTAGTCTTTAAGATATGATTTTTGTCTCTTAACAACTCTCTGATTATTAAACATGCTGAAAAAATTGTACTAGTAGTAGCTAAGAGCCTACTAATAATTATTGCTAATTTTTTTATGTGAATTGTTAGGAATTTAAAAGCTAGTTTGCAATCTCTTAAAATATCTTTTATTTTTTGTTTCAGTAGTACTAAAGTTATTGTTCTGAAATTTATTATAAAATCTAGATATTTGACTATCTGTGTAAATATAATCTTCAATTTTTTTGAATTTATTAGAAATTCTAGGTTTGTTAAAATTTAGATTACTTTATTTATATGATATATTAATTCTTGTTTTATCTTAGTACAAATTAATATATTATCAAAGTAGGCAATAAGCTTTATTTCTTTTGTTCTAGCTCATGATATTATTTGTTTAAGTATCTTTGTAAAGATCCTAAGACTGCTAGTTAACTCAAAAGATAAATATGTATACTAGTACCTCTAGTTCATATAGTCAAAAGTAAAATATTTATGTGTATGATATAATAAAAGAATATGCAAAAAGGTATTCATAATATCTATAGTTATAAAATGATCTTCTTTTTTTATTATAGCCTTAGCATATTCTATTATTTCTATTTTAAAATATATGTATTGCATATATTTGTTTAAGGATCTTAAATCTATAATAATTCAATTTTTTTTCTATTTTCTTAAAAATTAAAAATATATGTAAAATAAAATATAGAGTATCTGATGAGACTTCTTTTATCCCTTAAATAGTAAGCAATTGCAGGCAAATTTGCCTACAATTTTTACTTTATAGTTTATAATATATATATTTTATAAAATATAAATTTGAAGATACAAATTACTAACTCTTCCTGTAGATCACTTGTATCAAAACTTCTTAAAAATATTTTGCTATAACTAAAAATTTTATTAAATAAACAACCTTTAGGCTATTAAGCAAAATTGTTCTATACAAAATTTTGCTCCAAAGTGGTCTAGTTTTATATTTCTCAAACTCAAACTTATCAAGATATCTTAATTAAACTATTAAATTTTTCCTCTAAAATTTTTTTAACTTTCTACTAAGTCAACAGTGCTTGTTAACT